ACCGCCAGCCTTCTATTACAATGTATCTCGTGATGCCGAGCCATCATCTGATGGAAGGGAGATAACATATATGGCGTGGGTGGCAGAAATGTTAAACAGCATGGGGCGGGTTCAGGACAGCCAAGAAAACACGCATTTCATGACAGCTGTAATATGCACAAGTCCAATTAAAATGCAGTGCTTAAGAATGGGCTGTTTACCAAAAGCTGGGCAGTTCGAACCCACCCAGCCCCTCCACCAGAGAAAAGACCTGGCAATCTGCTCCTGTAAACATTTCAGCCTAGGAAATCCCAGGGGGCAGCTCTCCTCCGTCCTACACGGTCTCTGGAGTCAGAATCACCTCGATGACACACAGCAACAGAGGGATATAGCCAGGAGAACAAGTCAGAGATTCCAGGGGCAACAAGCATCTGTTGGTTTATAGTAAGAGTATTTGCACATTATGAACACGTTCATGTGAACATGTGTGAACACTCCCTCCCCGACCGGGCTGCACACCCCCAGAATCTGTGAGTGATAAAGTTCTTTCATCCCATTTTTGTGTCTTGTGGCTAAAGTGCAACCTCCATTCCGGGCAGTGAACATAACCTGGGTTGTGGACATCGCTCCCTGTTGTCACCACCTTGGAGTGACAACTGAGAATCAAACACACAAAGGACAATTGTGGATTTGCTCTGAGCTGAGGATGACTCCCCAGATCTCTCCAAGCATGAGGAAGGAGCCAGGGCTGTTTCCCCCATTTTACAGATGAGGAAACTGAAGCACAGGCAGACTCCTCCCCTCCTTGGAGGCTGGGGGTGGGGAGAGGATCAGAAAGAGAAAGGGGTGGGTCTCAGGCCCAGTCCTGCTTGCTGCATCCCGAGCTCCATCCAGGTCCAGCTCTGCCCCTGGGGTCTGCACAGCCTCAGGTTAGACGTCCAGGGTCCTCCCATGCCAGCAGGACCTGGGACTGACTGTCTGCTGAGCCCTGACTTGTTCCTCCACCCCAGGATCTGCTGATCACACCTGTCCTAAACCCTGTGCCCTGGCCTCCCCACAGATAGAAGCTGCCAGCCAGAACTGCTGGTTCATTCTTGATACCAGGCACCCTTCCAAGTACCCAACCTCCCTTGGCCACCCAGTGAAGTAGGTGTCACATGAGGACTCTGAGGCCCCAGAAGTCAAATCACAAGCTCCAAGTTATACAGTCACCCTAGAATCTGATTCTTTGAAAAGATTAATGAAATTGACAAACCACTGGCAAATTTTAACAAAGGAAAAGAGAGAGAGAATACAAATAACATGAATAAGAAATGAACTGGGTGACACCACAACAGAACCAACAGAAATCAAAAGGATACTATCAGGATACTATGAAGGACTATTTGAAATCTAGAGGAAATGGACAGATTTCTAGAAACATGCTACTTACCTAAACTAACAGAAGCTGAGGTGGAAAATTTAAACAGATCCACGACTAAAGAAGAAATTTAACAAGTCATAAACAAATTACCAACAACAACAAAAAAAAAACCCTTGGCCCAGACGGTTTCAATGGTGAATCCTATAGAACATTCAGAGAAGAACTGACACCAGTCCTACTCAAACTATTCCAGAAACAGAGAAAAGGATGGAGTCCTCCCAAATTCATTTTATGAAGTATAACCTTGATACCAAAACCAGGCAAAGACATCACTAAAAAAGAAAATTACAGACCAATATCCCTCATGAATAAAGTTGCAAAAACTTCAACAAAATCCTAGCCAACAGACTCCAACAACATATCAAAAAAATAATATATTATGACCAAGTGGTATTCATACTAGGTATGCAAAGGTGGTTCGACATTAGAAAAACAATCAACATCACCCACCACATAAATAAAACAAAGGAAAAGAACCACATGATCATATCAATCCATGCAGAAAAGGTACTTGATAAAATCTAACACCCATTCCTGATCAAAACTCTCAGCAAATAGGAATAGAAGGAACATTCCTCAACATAATAAAGGGCATCTATGCAAAACCAAGGGAGCTCTGGTAGCATGGTGGCTAAGATGCTTGCCTGCTAACCAGACGGCTGGCAGTTCAAACCCACCAGCCACTCCTCGGAAGGAAGGTTGGGCAATCCTACTTCCGTAGTGATACTGCCTCGGAAACCCAAGGAGGGGTCGCTCTGAGTCAGGGCTGACTCGATGGCACATAACAACAACAACAACATGCAAAACCAACAGTCAACATTATTCTCAATGGAGAGAGACTGAAACCATTCCCCTTGCAAACAGGAACCAGATGAGGATGTCCTCTATCACCACTTCTATTCAACATTGTACTGGAGGTCCTAGCCAGGGCCATAAGGCAAGAAAGGGAAATCAAAGGCATCCAAATTGGCAAGGAAGAAGTAAAACTACCCCTATTTGCTGATGATATGATCCTATACCTAGAAAACCCAAGAGACTCAGTAAATAAACTACTGGAACTAATTGAGAGATTTAGTATCGTGGCAGGATACAAGATCAACATCCAAAAATCTGGTGGATTCCTCTACACTAGCAAAGAGATTGCTGAAAAGGAAATATGGAAATCAATACCATTTACAATAGCTACCAAAAAAATAAAATACTTGGGAATAAATCTCATTAGGGACACAAAAGACCTGTACAAAGAAAACTACAAATCACTGCTCCAAGAAACCATAACAGAGCTACATAAACAGAAGAACATACCATGCTCATGGATAGGAAGATTGAACATTATGAAAATGTCAGTACTACTCAAAGCAATCTATACATTCCATGCAATCCCAATCCAGATCCCATCAGCATTCTTTAAGGATATGGAAAAAACAATCACTAACTTTATATGGAAAAGAAAGAGACCTCGGATAAAGAAAGCACTATTGGAAAAGAACAACAAAGTAGGCGGTCTCATACTTCTGCACCTATACAGCCACAGTAGTCAAAACTGCCTGATACTGGTATGACAGACACATAGACAAGTGGAACAGAATTGAGAACCCAGAAATAGATCCATCAACCAGCTGATTTTTGACAAAGGGCTGAAATCCATTAAGTGAGAAAGAGGTAGTTTCTTTAACAAATGATGCTGGCAAAACTGGATTTGCAGAAAAATGAAACAAAATCCATACCTCACACTATACATAAAAACTAACTCCAGATGGATCAAAGACTTAAATGTGAAACCTAAAATTATAAAGTTCCTCAAGGAAAAAATAGGGGCAAATTTAAGGGCCTTAATTTATGGCATAAACAGACTATCAAGCATAACCCAAAATGTACAAACAGCTAAAGATAAACTAGATGAATGGGACATTCTAAAAATTAAATGTTTATGTGCTTCCAAGGACTTCTCCAAAAGAGTCAAAAGAGAACCTACAGATTGGGGAAAAATATTTGGCAACGACATACCTGACAAGGGACTTATCTCTAAAATTTATAGAAAACTCCAATACTTCAATAACAAAAAGATTAACAATGCGATTTAAAAATGGGCAGAAGACAAGAACAGACACTTTACCAAAGAGGATATTCATTCAGGCAGCCAGCAAATATTTGAAGAAATGCTCACGACCATTAGCCATCAGAGAGATTGCAAATCAAAACAACAATGAGATACCATCTTGCCCCACCACTAGCAGCAAAGTTCAACAAGACAGAAAATAACAAATGCTGACAAGGATGTGGAAAGATTGGGACTCTCATACTCTGTTGATGGGACTGTAAAATGATACAACCACTGTGGAAAGCAGTATGGTGATTCCTTAAAAAGCTGGAATTAGAAATACAATTTGACCCAGCAATCCCCTTACTAGATATATATCCTAGAGTGAAAGCCAGGACAAGAACAGACATCTGGACATCCATGTTCATCGCAGCACTATTTACAGTAGCCAAAAGAGAGAAACCACCTACATGCCCATTAACAGGAAAATGGATGACCAAATGATGGTACATACACACAATGGAATACTATGCAACACTAAAGAATAATGTAGAAGCTGCAAAACACCGTATAACATGGATGAACTGGGAGGACATTATGCTGAGTGAAGTAAGTCAATCACAGAAAGACAAATATAGTAGTAATTCATTATTGTAAAAAAAAAAAAATCCAGGAAAGGTTTATATATGGAAAAAAAAATTTCTTTGTTGGTTACCAGGGGTGGTACGGAAGGGAAAGGGACACACACACACACACACACACACACACACACGAAAAAAAACATTAACCCATGTCACTTTAATTTTGTGTATTTTACCATTGTATTTCAGTAAAATGTTAAAAAAAAAAAAGTTACTACCATTTGTAGCCACGTAGGCTCCAAACCCAGGCTGCATGGCTCCACAGCCTCCAGGAACACCAAGAACGCCTGCACCAGCCTGCACACAGTAGACACTCAATCAACACTTGTGAAGTGACTAATTGGTTCCTCATGAAACTCACCACTCACCATCCCTCTGCCTGGGATGTCCTTCTCCACATGGTAAACTCCTATTCATTCCTTAAAACCCCATTTATAATGCCCCTTTCTTAGGAAGTTTTCCTAACTCCCCTCTCTGGGTTCCCTCAATCCCTGTCCCTCCCTCCAGCCCAGCTCTAACCCTGTGGGGCTGGTGGTGTCCTCTGGGGGTGCCTTGACCCCCAGCATCACCCTGCACAGGCTGGTCATGGCAGAGAAGAGGGGGCATTAGGGGTACGAAACAGCCCTCACCCATCCGTCTCTTCTTCCTTCCCTCTCTGGTGCTGTGAAGAAAACTTCCTGGAGCAGGAAAAGGTTTGTTTTTGCTTTTATTAGAAAATAAAGTGTTTATTCAAAGACCATTAAAAGACCAGGGCCTGTGCGGGGTTGTGTGAGGAGGAGCCAGTCTCAGGCTCAGCCAGGCTGCATGGGGCTCCTGTCCACGGGGTCCAAACCTCAGCAAGGCCGGGGTGGGTGACCCCAGGGTCCACAGAGTGTGGGAGCGGTCGTCCGTCGAGCACCAGGACACAGCACAGAGCTCAGCTACTCACCAGGTACATCCCTGGGAAGCATGGGGTGCGGGGAGGGAGGTCAGGACACGGGCAGGGCAGTTCTGGACTCCAACCCCTCAGCCCCACCTAGGACCCTCCAATCCTCCTCCAAAAACCCCCTTACCATACTGCTCCCACTTCCCCGTTGGTCCCTTGTGAGGTCAGGAACTTGGGGCAGCGGGTGAGTGGAGCTTTAGGTCTACCTTCTTGACTCCTCCCATTTTAGAGTTCTGACCTCCGCCACACCCGCTCCTGGACCCCAGCCCCACCTGTCCTTTCCCAACCTGCCACAGCTAAATGTCCCTGCTTCCCCCCTTCCTTCAGCTGCACTTAACAGAAGCAGGAGTGGGGTGACCCAGGATCCCAAGCAGACGCACCTGTAGCGAACCTCCTCTTTATCAGTGACATGCGGTAGCCACTGCCCACGAGCTCCAGGTCCACGCCTGACAAGGTGGTCCCCTCACTGGTGAACTGTGCGGCCACGGGGCTAGGTGTGCTGGGCCCTGAGCGTGGCTCCCAACTGGCAGACAGGTGCCCGGAGCCTGGGGAGGCCTGAGGGTCAGTGGCGTCCCAGCCTTGGCTGAGCCCCACTGTTGACCTGGGCTCCTCAGCCCCTGGCCGGTGGCTTCTGTCTGTCCCCTCCAACTTCATCTGTGCCTCTGCAGCCCCCTCAGCCTCAGTGATTTGCAGACTGGTGGTTTGCAGGACCAGTCTGTGGTTTGCAGACCAGTCCAGTGGCAGGACCTTTGCACCAGGTTTGCCAAAACCCTTTTAAGCCGTCCTCAATGCCCACACTCCCCCGTGCCCAGCATGTCCTTGACTCACCCCCAGTTTTAATAAGCCCTTCCCACCCAAGAGCCCCTGAGGCCTCACGCAGAATAGGAACTGACCTCCAGCCTCGGACACGTCGGGAAGCCTCCATAGGAGCCGCTTCTCCTCCAGGTTCCTGGCAGCAACAGGAGCTGAGTTAGGTCTTCCCCGGAGAGGATGCTGAGAACCTGGGCTCTGCAGCCCAGTTCAGCCACCTTCCAGCAAGTCAGCTTCCCTCCCTCGCCTCAATTCCCCGCTCAGTGAAATGGGGGTGGGATATGGAACAGCCGTTTGCTAAGGGCCCAAGCTTTGCAGTATTTTGAGATGATACATTTAGGTCCTGTAAGTCTGGCTTCTTTGTAGCAGGTTCCACCTTTTGTACAAAATACATGCAGCACTGTGCAGCCAAAAGTGGGGCACTGGGTTCAAATCCAGTGTGGATTTGAACAGTGTGGCCTTGCACAGTGACTCAGTTGTCCTGTCCTTCAGTGTCTCCTCTGTAAATGGGGTTGGTGGCAGTTCACACTTCACGGGATTGCTTAGACCCTGTACCAGGTAGCATGTGTAGAATGCATGGAACATGCCAGACACGTAGGAAACAGCAGGTATTAGGTATTACTAACAACATCACGCTTAGCTTTAAGCAGGGTGAGCTCATGGCACCTGAGCCGAGGGCAGACCCTCCAGCTGCTGCACTGAGGGGAGATCTGGAGGGTTCTGGGGCACAATGCTGAGCCTCCTGCATGCCCTCACCAGGTGGCAGCAGGCTGCAGGCGGACGTTGGTCACAGGCTCCCCCACAGGCAGCAGGATCTGGACGTTGGTGAGTGGTGTGGGCACGGCTGTGGCACCAGGCCGGTAGCAGTACTCCACTGAGACCCGGGTGAGGGTCGCGCCACACTGCCAGTGGGCGCTCAGCTGCAGTGGCACTGATTGGGCACCGGGGCGGGAGAACTAGGAGGAGGGAGGACAAGAGGTAGGACACAGATGGGACCATCCTGTCCTACCAACCGTCCTGACCCTGCCTCACCACCTGCCATTCCTCCATCTATGCCCTGCACTACACACCTCCTCCTCCTCTTCAAAAAAATCTGTTGCCTTCGAATTGACTTCAAATCGTGCATCACAGAGTAGGGTTTTTGTGGCTGTAATTTGTATGGATTGTGGGGCACCATGGATGGGTTCGATCTGCCAATCCTTAGGTTAGTAGAAGAGTGCAAACCTTCTGCGCTACCCAGGGACCTTACACACCACTCAGAGGGCACCACACCTAAGGAGACTTTACACATCAGAGCTTGTATTCCACCACACTTCCAGTAGAGGGGAGGAGAGTGCCTCATTCTAACAAACCCTGCTGACAGACGAAGTCCCCTGTCTTGGGAAAGAGCAGTTTATAACTTGCACAATGGTGCCTGTTAGCAGAGGCTCTGCGCTCCTGTACTGCCTACGGGGGGGGGGGGGGGGGTGCTCATTCATCGCCCACCTGGCCTACTCCCCACCTCCCTCTGCACCCTGCTTGCACTACCAGCACCCATGCCCGCTGCTCGCCTGCCCTGTGCCACAGCTCACCTGATAGCGTAGCAGCACCACATTGTAGTAGGAAGCGGCCGGGTTCTGCTCTGCTTGGCGCTGCAGGGCCTCGGTCAGAGCTGCCATGTTGAGCCAGAAGTCTTTGGCCTCAGGGTCACTCTGGGAGGGGTCACTGCAGAGATCGGGAATGATCACCACCACTCTTTAACCCCCTTTTGGAGATGCCTCCAGCATCTGATTTGCCTCCTAAAGATACAGATTCCCTGGCCCAGAAAAGGATGACCTCATGCAAGGAGGGGCTGAAGGAGGGGATGTTTCAGAGAGGGTGACCAACTTGCCTAGGGCCACAGAGCCAATCCCTAAAGACAGAGCAAGAACTCAGACCTGTAGAGCTCCCACCCCCAACAGTACCTGAAGAGCAGGTCCGAGTTGGGCTGGAAGTGCTCAATGGGGGTGGTGTGCACCAGGCGGAAACTGAGGACAGGCGGGGGTGGGGTCCCACTGAACACACGTATGATGCCAGCTGGGAAGGTCATGGTCAGCTCCCCAGTTACTCGCGCCAAGCAGCTGAGGAGGAGGGGACTGGGTTTGGCCAGCACATGGCTCACCAGCCCACTCCAGTGCAGCAAGGCCCTGACAGCACCCAGCATCCTTTCCCCAAACTCCTCCCCTTACATCCTTGCCTGGATGTGCTAGGGAGAATCTACACTAGGCTGAAAGAAGCAAGAACACCCCCTTTCCTATTTCCCTTTTCTCCTAGGCCACCAGGAAGCTCAAAGCAAAACATTCAGTTCTGCAACTGTTTGCAGCTTGGATTTCAGGTCTAATGTTCTTTTCCTTTTTGTGGCTTTATTTTAGCCTCTTCTGCTGGGTACAACCCCCATATTTTCCTCAGCTCCTCAGCTTGCCCCTAATCCACCCTGTCTGTGGGCCTGGCCTTCTGTGATGTTCTCTTCAGCTTGATGCCAGTGGCAGCATCAGAGAAGTCTAAATTTTGGCTCCAACCATGTCTGGTCCTGCTCAAACACCATCCATGGCTCTCATCACCCTCAGGACAGGGACTTGGTTCTGTGTTCAATGTCCTTCCACCCCAGAGCAGGCCACGAAGCCCATCTGAAGGCTATTCCTGCCAGAATCTGGACGCAGAGCCTCCAGAAAATCCTGCTGCTGATGGCAACACATTTCCTGTTTGTCCCCATCATCATCCCTGTCACAGCATACCTGGGGCTATGACCACGGAAGTAGGCATGGACATACTCTGTGAAGGCTGTGGCCACAGGCAGGGCATCCTGGGAGCCCAAGACCACAGGACTTGGGCCCCGGGAGACTCCTAGGATGGTGGGGAAGCAATGGGAGGCACAGAGAGCGTCAGAAATACCCCGTTCCCTGCCATCATCACCCTCATCATAACACTCCCACCCACCCAATTGAGGAAGGAGAAACCAAGCCCCAGAAGGGGACCCCAGGGTTACCCCCACGTACCATGTCCTGTCTGGGTTGAGAAGCTGGGCCGTTCTGGGGCAGTGCCCAGTGGGGAGGGGCTCAGGGAACGAGACTAGAAGGGAATGAGGGGGGCTGTGAACATCCCAAGAGCAGTGCCCTGAGCTGCTCCCCAGAGGGGACCCCCAGCTTAGCTCCCGCGACGTCCTTCACCCCTACCAGGTCTCCATTGCTGCGGGTTAGGGGACAGGACACCTTCCTGGAGCGGGCTTTCCGGGGTGGGGCCGCCAGGCCCTCCCGGGCTGTGAGGTCAGCAGGCATGGCCATCAGGTCTGGGGAGTGAGCACAGAAAGGAGGCATCACTTGGATGCGGCCCTGGACCTGGGGCCTCCCCACAGGCAGGAACCCCTCCCTGCTCAGGACTGGGAGCCGGGGATATTTGGGGGACAACCCCTGTGGGTCTGGTTGGAAAGGGGCTGCATAAAAGGTGCCAGACAGGATTGCAAACATTTCTACAGCCTTGAGTCCCCCAGGCATCAGAGAGATGGAAAAGAGGGGGTGGGCTCCTCATTACTGGGGGTATGCAAGCAAAGAATGAATGCCTAGGATGCAGGCACACTACAGGGGGTTTCTGCAGAGAATTTTTAACCAACATTCAGTGGTGTCATAACCTCTATACTCTCTGAGAGTGGAAGCCGCCGCCTATCCTGGTTGGATCTGAGTCTAACCCTCCTGAGATAACTAGCATGTCACAGTGTAATGCCCTGGCTCCCCTGGTCTCCTGCCTCCCCAGTGTCCCCCACTCTGCTCCATTCACACATGCTCACCTCCCTCCGAGTCTGTGTCCCCTTCACCCCAGGCTTTCTCACTCCCAGCACTGCTCGTGTCTGTGGTGGGGACTGTCTTGTGCACTACTGGGGCTGGGCACCATCCCTGCCTTCTACTCATTTGAGGCAAGTAACGACACCCTCCTTCCTCAAGTCAAGACAATCAAAAATGTCTCCTGATGTTACCAAGAGTTCTTCAGGGTCCGAATGTGCCCTGTTGAGACCACTGCTTTTCTGAGAAGCTCAGCCTACTTGTCTACACTCATGGCCTATACTCCAGGTCTACACTCGCTCCCTAGCCCTCCTTTGAATCCACTGCAGCCAGGCTTCTTCCTCAACCAACCACCCTTGTCATCATCTTTGGTCACAGCCAGCACTCCTCTGACTCAGGGCCCTTATTCTCCCATCCCTGGGGCTCCCCTCCCATGTCCCTGGCTTCTCTGAAGCCCCTTTGCCTTTTCCTCCTCCCTCACCTTTCCGTAACATCTTCCTGCAGCCCCTGCCCAAGGGACTTGGCCCAGCCTCATCTAGTTTCTTCTTCCCTGGCCCCCTGCCCCTCTGTCCCCTTCCCTTCCTCTCCATTCTCCACCCCCCTCCTGTTAGCCACACAGGCCTCCTGACTACTCCTCAAACACACTCACTAGCTCTGACCTCAGGGCCTTTGCACGGCTATGCCCTCCACCCAGGATGCCCTTCTCCCTATACCTGCACAGCTCCTCTCTCACCTCCTTTTAATCTCAGTCCAGATCTCAGAGAGGTCTGCACTCCATACCTGCTACATCCTGAACTGTTAAATAATGACCTCATTAATGAAAGAGCAGGACTTTTTGTCCTCGTGGTCCTGGCTGGGTCCCCAGCACCTAGTAAGTGCTCAATCCTGCTTCCCCCCAACCAACCTCCACCAGGGCTCTGACTACACTCAGGCCCAGGGCCCCTAGACTCACCTCCTCCGGCCATGGCCTCCAGCCCCCAGGGGCCTGGGGATGCCCTGAGGGTCTGTGGTGAGTCAGGTGGCTGTGGAGCCCAGGCTCCCCTGCGCTCTGGCGGCAGGGTTCTCCGGCCCGGAGGGCTCTGAGGGGTACCTGGGCGGGGTACCCAGGAGTCCGGGGAGGGGCCAGGTGCCACGTGGGAAGGGGAGTCGAGGCCGGAGTCCTCTACGTTCTCCGGTGAGGAGGAGGAAAAGGGGGAGGGGCTGGAGGTAAAGCCGAGGCTGCTGGACCCTGGAGGTAAGGGAGGTGCGGTAGGTACCAGACTGACCACCTACCTGCAGGGCAGCCCATCTCCTGTCTCCCGGAAGGGCCCACCCACATTCAAAGCCCCTGTCCAACCCCCAAACTACACCCTCTGGTCATTTCCATCACCACTAATGCGCCACCCAAGTCAGTGTCCACTCCTGTGCAGGCCCCACCCCTCCCAATGACCACACCCCTTCACTGTGCCCCCCCCCCCACAAACCCACCCATTGGCCACAAAGGACTTCATCTTCCCCGCAGTCCTACCTATGCCCCTAAAGCCCCATCACCTGTAAAATCTTCGTGGTCAAAGGCTGATTCAAGGGGAGGCCCAAAGAGGCTCTTGGAAAAGTGCTCGTCTGACTGCAGCTTTTCTGCACAGCTAGAGGACAGGGCGGCCATGAGGGATGGTCATGAGGGTCCTCTGGTCCCACTTCAGGACCTTTGCATGTGCCGTTCCCTGTCTGAAGCTCCGTTCCTGGCTCTCCTTACAGCCACTCCCTGCTTCTCTTTAGGGCCCAGCTCAAATGTCACTCCCATGGAAAGGCCCCCACCCCTACCCAACTAAAGGCATCTTCTACCCTCCATCCTACTGACTGCTTTATTTGCTTCATGGCACTTAGTGGTATCGCATATTCTCTGACTGATCTGCTAGTTTTAAGATCTGAACCAGTGGAACACGACTCGGAGGAGTGGGACTGATCTTGGTCACGCACTGTACTGCTAGACGCTGGAACAGGAGAATGAGTACACAGAAGGTGCTCAATAAATGTTCAACAGATAAATGATTAAAACAACGCAACTCAAACCCTGCATTAGAGTCAGAGAAGGGGAGGCAGGGATGTGGGAAGCAACAGGAGACAAGGCAGGAGGCCTGTCGGTGGGCCCCACCTGCTCACCTGTGTGGACCCCTGCCCCTTCCCATGGAACTCACCTACTGGCCCTTGGTGCAGATCGAGGCCTGTGTGGTTTTCCAGTAGCATCCCCTAGGACGGATGCGCCTTGGTGAGCCTCCTTGTCACCCAGCCCCTGGTGCTCCCCACTCCCCAGACCCGGGAACAAAGGCATGGGGCTGCCCACGATGACCAGCAGATCAAGCAGAGAGGAACTGGAACCTGAGCCAGCCTGCCTCCAGGCTTCAGCTCTTTCCCTGGCCCCAGCTGCTTCTTTCCAGTTCAACTCTCACTTAATTCTGTGAGAATTAATGATCCAATTTCACAGAAGAGGAGACTGAGGGTCAGAGTAGTAAAGCAATCTGCCCTGAGTCATATGTTGTTGTTGTTGTTAGGTGCCGTCCAACTCATAGCAACCCTTCCTTGGGTTTCTGAGGCAGTATCACTACGGAAGTAGATTGCCCAACCCTCCTCCCGAGGAGTGGCTGGTGGGTTTGAACCGCCAGCCTTCTGGTTAGCAGTTAAATGCCTTAGGCACTATGCTACCAGAGCTCCCTATGTCAGGTTTTGGGGAACAAATCTTTCAATGGGTTTTGTGTTCTACTTAGTATGTTATCAAATACTGACAATAATAGCTCATGAAACGCTCCTTATACAACTGCATAGTAAGTTGGAAAATTGCTTAATTCAGAAAGAGCTAATATCATTCAGAATCATTTACTGAAGAATTACACACAGTATATGACATTGTTATGATCTGATAATGAAGACAGGGCTTTGAGAAGCAATGGGAAAAAACTGACAGAATAATCCATTACAGATTAGGGGAACATGCTCTTACATGGTGAGTATGCCCTGGGTGCACAGCACTGACTGAAACGCCAGGATTTGTGAGGCTAGTTAATGTCCCAATTTCTGAAACCTGGGGACAGATTTTACAAAGGTCACAGACAGTCTGCAGTCCAGGTACCACCATCAACCCATCTTTATGATGTCTAAATGTAATCCAGTTGGTATTATTTGGAGAATATCAGTGTTCCACCAGCCCTGGAGTCAGTCACTGAATCATTTAGACATGAGACAACATACTTAATTCAAGTGATAATCCAGAATGAACCAGATAAAATGCTAATAAGAAAACTCAACTAGCATCAGTGTAAATGGGAAGTATTTCTATTTTGCTTGGAAGTACCTATCAGGATTTAGTTATTGCGATAATCAGGTGGTTAAGGAAGAGAACAAGACCACTCCTTTAATTCTCCCCTTCAATACACATTAGGTGTCAGACACCAGATGCACGTGGGGGTGCCGCCATTTCACACACCTGTATTCGTGCACCTGAGGCATTAAGGCACAGTCAGAGGCCTGGCCTGCACACACTGGGATGGCCGCAGGGGAGCATATTCCTGCCATTTTTTGTCCTGACCAGCCAAGCTCTGGAGCCCTCCTGCCCTCCCTATTTGTGAATAGAAGCTACCACAAACCATTTTTCTATGTTTGGAAGGACTGATGCCAAAATGAATTGAAATACCATTACGTGTAAGTGTAATACGTCAAAGAATATCCCAAACTAGGAAATATGACACCAAGGATCACTGACTCCATGGAACCACAAAACACTCAAGCTGACCGTTGATCTCCTTCTTTAAATTGAACGAGGCCCCTGCTTTTCAAAGCAGATGTGTACAGAAGACCAGGGAGCAAATTTGATACGCACAATTTTTTTAAGCAAAGCAAATCCTAAAGGACTTTTCATGGCAGTCAATGACCAGCACTTCAGGCTATGCACTGTTCTAATATAAGGAGCATTTGTCTGGTCAGTCCTTTTCTGCATCTTTACAATGAAAATACCACAAAACTTTCTTCATTTTAAATTAAATTATGAAATAGGCCTCATAAAGACCACATTTCAACAAATAAAATCATAATAAACATAATAAGAAAAAGAAAATTGAGGCACACTGGTAGCTTGAGGCCAGTTGGTGTCATCAACCTCGAGACAAAAAGACAATAGAACCCCCTTTGTTTATTTGTTACATGATGATAGCAAGAAAGTTTCTTTTCCATAAAACTCATGCAAAGGACCAGGACCCACATTTAATGCAATAGAAAGATACCAAACACAATTCTTCACTAAAATAAAATACATTTAATGGTGGCCAAAGACAGACTCTTGAGATCATTCACTGCTGCAAGAGATCCAGCAGTCAGCTGCATGACCAAGTTCTGCACCTGTAAACTGAAACTGCCCCAAGCTTTTAATTTCAAGAAAATTTTTGAGGATAGCCAAAGACCAGAATTTAAACTAATAATATATCAAAAAGTCAATTATACTATAAAATAAAAGGCACTCAACCACAGTAATTTTTTCCTCTGTAAATTAAAATGTACACAAAAATTTTCAAAGGACACTTATTGAAATGGATAATGACAGAATTTAATTGAGTAGCAATGGAATTCCTCATGGAATTGTTTGAGAAATGAATTCCCACCTGACGTGTAATAGCCAGATCTATAAAGGGGGCGGATGACAGGTACTTCTGGGCAATAAACTGCCATAAATCAATGAAAGCTCAGTGTGCGCATTTTTACATTAAAATTAACACAAAAAATGTCTTTTTTAAAATTGTGATTTGGGTGAAAGTTTACAGAGCAAATTTACTTTCCATACAGCGGTTCACATATACTTTGTCTCATGACATTGACCACA